AATACGTGTTAGGGCCTACAAGTGCGATCATGCAACCAGATGTAGACTTACTATCAGCATCTCCTGCCCAATTAGCATCACAGAACATCCACAGTTTACATTCGGAAATCTTATCTCCTACAAACCCTTTCAGTTTGATGTTCATGGAGGAGTTAATGTAGCAGATCAACCTATGTAGAGCAATGTCGCAATCGGGTGACCATTTAGTTACCCTTGTGACGCGAGGGCTTGCGTAGCACGGAGGAGGTCCCATCGGGCCATGCGTGCTGCAAAGAGCACCTTCATGAGGATGCGTGATGCAATACCCGCAAGCTTACCGGTCGGCTCCTTGTCTGGGTCCACCGGCTTGGCGATACGGGCCTCATGAAAAGGCGTAGCAGCATGCCTCAGGGTTTTTCCGATCTACCTTAGCCAATTCGCAGTACTTCTCAACACAGGCGCCGAGAAAATCCTCCATGTCATAGGTTACCGTGTTGACTTTGTTGACCATACATGGGGTTGGTTTGTCAATGATGGATTCGGGTGGCTTGAACCTACTTCTTTGACTTTGTTCTTAGCTTCTGTCTTGCTACGTGGATTCTTCTTCTTGTATGATGCAAGAGCATAAGTGAAGTCTTCCACTGGAGTTTCACGATCCAGTGGGAAATAGGTTCTGCCGGTCCACCAATCAAACTTAGCTTCACCCCCCTGGTTAAAGTCGTCAACATGTAACTCTTCTTTCGAATCAAACTCGGTGACACGACTGGTCCCCATCATGGGAAAAGCTAACACGTCGTCTTCAGTTGGAACGTACAGCTTCTTTCTTGGGTACACATGATGTCTAACCACTGCACCAGCTTCTAAGTCTACTTCCCAGAAGTCCTCCCTCCTGACCGGCGATGGGTTTCCTCGCAATTGCTGCGGGTTTTCCCTCAAAGACACGGGCAAAAGGGTGTTTGGATTTGGGACAGGAGACTTGTTGCTGTTCTACGTGGTTACAACCAAAGTACCGACCAAGGGCTTCGGGAGGATCCATATCAATGACGCTGTTGATGTCCTTCCAACCTTAGGGCCAGGTTCTTGGTGGGACCTGCCATCTTAAAGTCATCGACGTACACGACTAGCATTAGCTCAAGCTCAGGATGGTAGAAGACGCTTTGCCATATTTCAGGCAAGATTGGAATCCATCCTACAGACTTAAGCTGTGTCTCGCAATGCTTTTCCCAAATGCCGCCGGCATCGGGATGGCCATAAAGAGCTAATCGAAGCGGGCATACGGGGTCTCGGTAGCCTTTCCAGGAACTGGGCCAACGATTCTTAGGCAAACGGACCCATGTAGTTATACCTTCAAAAAGCGCTTGGGTATACGCTTGTCTAGCGTCCGCCTGCTGCTTCGAGAAGCCTGGTTGCGAGCCATACGCGTTGAGAATTTTACCTGATTCCATTGAGGCTGGGGAAGAACCTAACTCAGCGAAAGGGGCATGGTCATGATGTTCGTCATGTACACGGTTTCCCTGAAAAACACTTCTACCCTTCCACTTCTTGTTGGGATCCCCATCAGGCAGTTCTGAACCTTTCTGCGAGCAGATTTCAAAGATCCGTCCAAAGTGGACCTTTGCATTGTTTTTGCGTGCCTCATCGGCAACGTCATCATACTCACGAACCTTTTCTTCGAGCC